GCCTATGTATACACACATAAGGCCTATTTACTGTAGCAACAATGGGAAAAAATTATCTGACCGTTTTAAAGAGTGGAAAACCTTGAATTTTGAAGAACTTAATTACTTTTAAGTTCTTCAAAATTCAAGGTGTTCCCCTCTTAAAAATTATTATAATGAATCAATGAACCAAGAGAAAGGAAGGTTCGAGTTCTTCCCGGGAAAATATTGATTTCTAAATGGTAGACAATGAGATTTCCCGACTTCTGAAGTATTTTTTAATGACTTTAATTTAAAAGACACCTCAGAAGTCGGGAAAGCTCATTTTCCACCTTCTAGGAATCAAAATTTTCCTGGGGGAGAACCCCTGGACCCCCCTTTCTTTGATTCATCGATTCATGGAAAATTCGTATGCAACTACTCATTTAAAAAAAATTGTTATGTATGTATACACACATAAGCCCTATTTACTGTCATAACAATAGGAAAAAATTACCTGACCGTTTTCAAGATGGGAAAACCTTGAATTTTGAAGAACTTAGGTAATTAAAAGACACCTCAGAAGTCGGGAAAGCTCATTTTCCGCCTTCTAGAATCAAATTTTTCCTGGGGAGAACCCCTGGACCCCCTTTCTTTTTGAGATTTATCGATTCATGGAAAAAAAAATCGTATGCAACTACTCAATTTTTTGTGTATGTATACACAAATACTGTAATACATACTACTGTAATAACAATGGGAAAAAATTACCTGACCGTGTTTAAGAGGGGAAAACCTTGAATTTTGAAGAACTTAAATTGAAGTCGCTAAAAGATACTTCAGAAGTCGGAAAAGCTGATTGCCCACCATTTAGAAAATTTCCAGGGGGAGACCACCGGACCCCCCTTTCTTTTTGGGATTCATCTCATGAAAGAAAATCGTATGCAACTACTCATTTTTTTTAAAATGTATGTATGTATGTATACACACATAAGGCCAATTTACTGTAATAACAATAGGAAACAATTACCTGACCGTTTTCAAGAGGGGAAAACCTTGAATTTTGAAGAACTTAGGTAATTAAAAGACACCTCAGAAGAACACCCGGACCACCCTTTCTTTGGATCTTATCGATTCATTGAAAAAAGAATACGCATGCAACTACAGTACTCATTTTTTTAAATGTATGTATACACACATAACAGGCCTATTTACTGTAATGAGAAAGTTTACCTTACCGTTTTCATGAGGGGGAAAACCTTGAATTTTGAAGAACAAAGTCATTAGACACCTACCTCAAAAGTCGAGAAAGGTCATTTCCTGCCATCTAGAAATCAAAATTTTCCCGGGGAGGAATGTTGACACCACCACCTAGATTTGATGCCAGATCTGCATGATTCATATTCCCATTCATCTGGGGGAAGACCCGGCCTGCAACCCCTTCTCCACTTCAAAAAGTGTCCATAGCGCATTTGATCTAAGCCGCCAGGTATTTTCCGCAGTGGCGTAACCACCGGGGGACAAGGGGAAAATATCCATCTGTGGAAAATCTTTCCCAATTGAGTGCCCCTTTCACCCGGGAAAGTGCCTGAAAATCTCAAATTTTAAATCGCATATTTTGTTGAGGTAGGCCAATTTCTTCTAAAAATTGCACATTTTAGGGAATTTTGATCAATTCTGACGGAATTAGAATTTTAAAAAAACAAAAATTTTTCGCGCGCTTCGCTCGCATTTTTAATGTTAAAGCTTGTGCTTTCTCTCCTTTGCCTTCTAAGTTATAACACATAGTCCCAAACTCAAGAAAGAAAATTTAAGATAGATCGTTTTACCTAAAAGAAGGGCTTCAATGTGTAATTATGTTGAAAGTATATGTTTGTAATAAATAAAGCCATAAGGAAAATGCTTATATTCAGTTTAGAAAAACGAGTGTGGCCATATATAGCCTAACAGAGCATTTCTTGTTGAGGTAGGCCAATTTCCTCTAAAAATTGGACATTTTAGGGAGTTTTGATCAATTCCGACGAAATTAGAATTAAAAAAACAAAACTTTTTTCGCGCGCATTTCTTAGGGTTAAAGCTTTACTTGCCCTCCTTTGCCTTCTAAGTTAAATATAACCACGATGAAAATGCTTATATTTACTTTCAAACACACGTGTGTGGCCTATAATAATAATAAAATAAGCCCTATGTCGTATTTTTTTCTATATGGGGAAGGGGGTATCTCACAAAGTCATAAATTACTAACCGGGAAAATTAATACCCTTCCCCCACCCCCGACCCAAGACTCCTGTTACGCACCTGCTTATAATTGGGGCCCCCCCACTTTGGAAAACGTTCCACCGGCCCTGTATTATCAAAAAACTTTACGCTCACATGTGCTGTCTATAGGGTAAACCTAAATGTTTTAGGGTTAATACGTATATTTCAGTCACTTTCTATAATTCAATAATTTGTTGTGCCTTGAGCTTAGTGTGCTGGGGAAGAAATATCACGGGTAAGATATCACGTCAATAATGCGGAACGGATGTGGGCCAGTGTGTGCCGTCGGTTGTTTATGTTTATGAATGTGGTCGGCTGCAGGGGGGGCACTGACCGCTAACGAGATTCATTGCTTCATAGAAGAACCGGAAACTTTTAATTGCAAACTTTCAAAGGTAGGCACATAGTATAATTATAGAATTATCGAACTTTTAACATTTAATTATGGATATAAAATTGTTAAATTTTAATTCAACTTGAATTTAAAAATATATATTTTTTAAAGATATGATTTTGAGAACGATAGCGTCATTGCGACCACTGCATGTATTTCCTGTGAAATCCAACCGTTACGTGGTTGGATTTGTAATACGGCGACTTTTTGTCTATTCTGACCATTATGGCCGCCCATATGATTATTATTCGGTTACCAAGATATAAAACGCGCACGCATAAACTTTAAACCCTCGACGAAGGGAAGAGTATAGAAAATGATTTCCGTACAACAGACTACCGTACTCGTTGCTCGAAATAACTGCAGTAGGCCTACACCATTGCAGGGAAGACATCTTTTAAATGCAAGTACAGTACTTTTTTAATATAAAATATCTCGTAAAAGTAAATAGTCCTTCTGTACTTACGCTTTTCCAAGGATTTGATTTACACAGGAAGTCTTCCCAGCTCCTTCCTTCCCCATAAACATGAATCTTGCATTAACTACCGTAATTTCACCATTTTGCATTTCATATTCGAAGGCTTTCACTGCAGTTTCGCCCCTAGCTTTGATTTCACCGGGTACTGACAGTTCTTTTTGATACAAAAGACAGAATTATTATTATTAATACAGTTTAAATATTTGAATGTTTGATGTCTTTTTTGTACAGTGTCTGTATAATATATTCACTTTCTACGTTAATAATTCACCACGGAAGCAACGTTGTCAAAATAATGAAAATAATAACGAGCAAAGTAAAAACAATAATAATCATTTACGAATTATAACATAATGTGTAATAACTTTTGAATTTTAGGTGAAACAGTCACAATCATTTAAATAAAATAAAAAATATTATTAATAATAATATTATTAATAATAATAATATTAATTAATAATTTAATTATTAATTAATATTAATATTATTATTTGAATATAAGCTTACCTATAAGTAACTTTCTAAGTGATTGCTTCTTTTCACTTCTCGTGGTTTCTTCGTATTCTCTACATTCGTTAAAATTATAATCATCAAGCGGCGTCTTTCTTCTCTGTAATAACATACACGAGCACACGTTTCATTGTATTACGGTTGCAAATTAAATCAACACAGGGAAGTTGCATGTCAAATCAACACAGTTAATTATATAAACATAATCAAAAATATTGGTGAAAGTAGTAGATAATAACAAATAACTAACACTATCCGCTTCGATTAATTTACAGCTATGTAAATTACCATAAAATCTATCGGTACTAAAAAGATAATTTTGAAAATCCAAATGATCCTTATCAGTTAATTATTTATATTTTAATGAGAATATATTTATTATGTTGGTTTTGATTAAGAAAAACGTTGGTCTATACAGTTGTTGTATTAGAGTCGTTCACTGATATCTTTTGATGCATTTCATTTTTCTGTACATTACCTTATCTTTTATCGATATGGAGGCTCCATGCATCAGTAGACAGATGGCTGTCTCTCGATGTTGATCGTAATTAAGCGGAGCATATAGACAGTAATGTAGTGGTGTGCGTCCAATCTGCAATGAAATGATAATCAATGTCAAGTTTGTTATACACGCACAACACAAGCATTACGGAAATAATTGAGAATTAATATCTTACTGAATCATCGCTTATTGTAAGAATAATATGAACGAGAATATTAATTATTATGTGTAGTATAATAATGATAATGATAACAATAATGTTACTAATAATAATTATATTAACAGTGATAATGGAAAATACAGATACAATAATAATATTATTTATAATGCCAATGGTAATGCTAGTAATTGATAAAATGATGATAATGACGATGATGATGGTAATATTAATAATAATAATGGGACTAGCAATATCAGTTCTAATTAATAGGCCTATTTGTCTTACTACATAAACAAGAATAATAATTACTAGATTAGAATGTCATGCTTTGAATATGTTTGTGAGTGAATTTTAGGATGTTTATTTGTTTACAGTGAATAAAGTGTTGTTTTCTTTTAATGTACTCACTTTGTTTGTCACGTTGACGTTCTTCGTTCTTTCTAACGCGCTTCTCAGTGGAGTCACGCGAGCGAGGTCCGCCAATAAATGGAGAATAGTTATACCAGGACGATTCTACAACAAGAGAAAAGTAGAGTATGAAACAAAGAATTACAAAAACAACTACTAACTCACACACCACATATCAACGAAACCAACAACTCAGAATCATCACAATTAATTTGCTTATCACATTTATCGTTATTAGATAATGGGAACTGAATTCAATGTCTTTTAAATTACATTTTTCTATTAAAATCACGAAAATAATGTTGAAATCAAAGTGGTTATGTTTTACACACATTAATCAATTATCTTTAAAATGAAAATTTTAGAGATATAACTTTTTTGTGTAAAAATTCGATTGTGTTGTCACAAATATACAAAACAGAAACGATCAATATAAATCCAAACATGATATTATCTGTTACTGTAAACATATTTTTTTTTCAATGTTTATATATTTAGATTATTTCCATAGTTCAAAGGCTTTTCAATGTTTTAAAAAAATAAATCATGAAATAAAAAAAAAATGCTTAGTTAAAAATATACAGTATATCACCGTCGTCTATTTTAAGTTTAATATTCCCTTGTTTATTGTATGGTATTTATAAATGATGTGTGTTCAGTTTATATCAAATACAATGATTTGTAATTCCACTAACCTTGTGTTCTAAATTCTCCACTGAAGCTTTCGCAATCATTGTTAGCATTATGTCGTCTGGTGTGTCGTAGAGTACGGCGTACATTAACGGCGTCGAGTGCTACGGAAACAAGCATAGGGACTGGTCAATACACGATGGTAGTAACAAATTAAAAATCAATATAATAAACAAAATTAAAACAGTAAAAAATATTAAATCATTTACTTATTTTATCGCGTGCCTTTTCTTATTATTTAACATTGAATTAATTTTTTCAGTCCGAGTTAATAAGCCAGGATTCCCTAATATTGATTTTAATCCAAAATTTACATTTTTCGGAACTATTTTATGGCTTCTATAATTTTATTGCAGGACGACATTCCATTGCAATAGCAATAAAACAAAACATTATATATAAATGATTTTATGTTTATCAAAAAATCAAAAATATAAAATATGATAAATCAAAATAGTGTTCAGATATCTTGTACAATTAGGCCTCTTCATATTGTTGGGAATTTTAATCATATACATAGGCCTACATATGATAAAAAAAATAAACACATTTGAAAATACTTAATGATATACCATTGGCCTATATTATATTTTTACAGGTATTAACACAAATTAATACCACTGATATTTTTTTGCTGGCTAGAAACAAATATACACACATTTTTATGTAGATTTTTTAAAAACTATTATTATTATATTATTCGGCGATAATTTTCACATCATTATACAAGGTATACACCCCCGTGAACGAATGTTAGGCTTAATAACGTATCTGTTAGTCTTAAAATAGTTTCTCGTCTTTTACATGTTTGTATAATTTGAATAGGTATTATTACTGTATTCATTAATTTATTTATGCTCAAATTTACTGAAGGCCTAGGTGTTTATTTAGGTTATGATCCAATGGATATTTACATTTGCTATATAAAGCATTCCTTAAAAAAGTTTATAAATAATTAAAATATGTTCACACATAGTTCAGTCTGTGATATATAAAGCATTCCTTAAAGTAAATAATTAAGAGATGTTCACGCATAGTCTGTGATATGGAATACCGTAAAACTCCTCAAATTAAAGCCCTGGAATTCTTTTTCTTGTTTGCTAACTGTGGATGTGTTTGTTTTTGCAAAGTAAAGACGAGGGCTTCTTTTCAAAATGAATGCTGTAAATTTTGGGAATTACTACTATCAAACAATAGAGGGTCATTGTAACATCAATTTCTATCATGGTGTGTGTATTATATACTATTAACCGGTAGTAAACCACCTACACTACTGTATAAACCAAGCGTGTTTTTAGTTTATTTTGTTGTTTTGAAATTCATGTATAACAGTGTATGTACTGTACTATCTCGAAAAAAGCTCTTTTTGTAAACTAAGAAAGGGGATTAAGATTAAGCCCATTGGGCTTCTATTCGAGAGGTTATACGGCCGGTAGTCGTGTAGACCCCTAGACATTCAAAAGAGCCATTTGTTTATCAGTTGGGACATTTTTATTTAAATCACTGGAAATAAAATAGAGGAAAAAGGCCTAATTAACGTACAATAAGTAATTAACGTATAATATTATATATTAAATACAAATATAGTAATATAACAAATAACATGTTCAGTTTAATTAAATACAAGAGGATATAGTAATATAACAAATAACACGTTCAGTTTAATTAAATACAAGAGGATAT